ACCATGAACTTAGTCACTACTATATCCTTCAGTGGTGGGAATTTGCTGGGATCAGAGCAGATATTGTGACGCTGAAGTTAACAGAGTAAGTTCCATTTACACGCCCTGTTCTGGCACTTATGCAAGATCATACCAGTTGGTGACAGCTGATGATGATGTCCATCAGATGACAAGCAGGCGACGCATTAATGATTCCACAAAAAGAGGAAAAGACAAACATTAACACAAACAACTCCATCATCTTTTAATTATAAGAGTTTCAAGACAACAAACTGCGCTCCAGCTTATCATTTATGTATTTAAACCTGCACGTCCTTGTTTCAAGCTATTATTTTGGTGTTTATTTCCCACCATATCTACAATGTATTTTTAAGCAGTCATCCGAATTATTCTAGCATGTTTTTGCAGCTCTGTATGGTTAGGCCTACTTTCACCTACAGGGAAGTTCGCCAACAGTCATATAATTACACCCTTTTGTTGGTAATGGATCAGTCCCAACAGCAGCCTGGTATAATGGTCACGGTGTATACAGTGCTAGTAATGTGTATTGTGGTAGAAACTATAAAGAATGAAACATTTTGTCACTTAACGTTGATTAGAGGATAGGTTATTGATATGATATTAATGAATGCAACTGATCTGAAACAATAAATAGTTATTGGAGATTTACAAAAGGTGTATAGGGGTGGTCGTACATGAATAAATGTTACATTAAATGGGTGTCAGTTTGTAAGGTTGAAAGTGAATTACATCCGATAGTGAAATGCGTCATTAATTACACGTGGATTTGTTTATTACTGGTTTTAGAATATAACAAAGGCTTAGTAAGAAATCAGAAAGAAGTAAACATTTCTCCAAGTCTGGAGAGTGGTTAATAAACCGGCGCCCAAACTGATTTCTGTAGGTGATTTAGAAACGGACAATGTCCGCCCATCACTTTTCAGGTACTTACCCACTATTTCTTCATTAACCTTTATGAACATAGTATTTTGATCCCAAACTTACAATGTGATATACCTAACCGACACATGAGGAACCAGTAAGTGTTATATCATGGTAATATCGTCTGAGACTCATCTGATGTCAGCTGTATCGACCCCACCATTGCCAACACCCCACCAACCCAAGCCTCCAGAACGCGAGTTACCCTGATGCACAGACCTGTAATTCTGGTGTTTGGTCCGTATATACTCAACAACAAAAGTTCCTGTGACACCAATATTTTAGTGTATTTTTCACAGTAGAGTTTGGTTTTCAATAGTGTAGTACATGTATGGAATCAAGTCACAAAAACGCAACTGCTACAGGAAAGCATGCATTCCATGCAAAAGTTGACTTTTAAGCAAGCCCCATGCATTTCACTACCCAAGAATGGGTATAACAACAAGTGCGTTAACGGGATTCCATATGCATTGTTTAGCATCGTGCTGACAACAATTACGCAATTATTCAACATTACGAAATGCCACGCCTGTCCGAAAATGAGCGTCTGCGAGCCATTGGTATGCTTGATGTTGCAAGACGTCGCCGCCTCAGATGTGCAGGGATTGTCGCCAGAAGACCCGCCAGACGTCCCATTTTGACAGGAAACCGCCGTCAAGCACGATTGGCAGACAGCGTCTACGCTAGACGGCCATGCAGTGGGGATAAGTTCTATTCACTGACGAGTCTCGTTTTCACCTCAGCCACAGCGATGGACGGATTCGAGTGTACCGACGTCGAGGTGAACGTTGCGTCAATCATTGTGTCATGGAAGAAGATCGGTTCGGGAGCGGCAGCGTTATGGTATGGGGTGGGATTAAAGCAAGACAGAGGACCCGTTTGATAGTGGTAGAGGGAAATCTCAATGGACATCGCTACCGCGACGAGATCATCGGCCCTGTTGTTCTACCGCTTTTGCGTCGTCATGGCCCAGGCATTACCTTTCAACATGACAACGCCCGGCCTCAAATTGCTCGACCTGTTCAGGCTTCTCTTCAACAAAACAACGTGAATGTCATCCCCTGGCCGGCTCGCTCCCCTGATCTCTCACCAATCGAGCACATGTGGGATGAGATGGAACGACGCCTACGACGTCAACCACGTGTTCCACAGACACACCAGGGACTTCGAAACATGCTCCAGCAGATATGGACAGATATCCCACAGGACTTTGTGCGACGCCTGGTCCATTCCATGAGACGAAGATGTGTTGCTTGCATCGCAACCAGAGGTGGACACACACGCTATTGATTTGTAAATTGATATCATTATGGCATATTTACCCATTTGAGCACTTAGAGGAGTCTTTTATCTGTTGCAAACCGAAATTGTTTCAGATTTGGTAAAAAACATAACTTTGCATTAAATCTTATTCAATGTCACAGGAACTTTTGTTGTTCAGTATATATATTGACATAATGAATCGTTGTTGGGTAATCATTCCGCCCTTTGAATTGATACTTGTGCGGTTTCGGTGAGGTGAAATGGGGTTTAACGTTGCGTTGGTGATTATTGCACTTATATGCACGTGTGTGTGTGGCTGCTTGTACTTGTCCAGACTGATGCCGATTTATAGTGGTAGCACACTGAGATACCATGCCGCAGTTTAACAAGAATACCCCACTCAGACACAGTATACTGACTCCAGACCTTGTTTAAGCCCCGCCAGACAGGGTAGCAACAAGTTGCATCTTTTAATGTCTTTTGGTATGACGCGGCCGGGGAGCGAACCCTGGACCTTCCGCTCTCCGGGCGGACGCTCTACCACTACACCTGACCTGTGCGGTTTTGATAATTTAGTGAGCCGCTAAATTAGTGAGTGAACGAATATGGTACAGTAAACTACGTTTATAACGAACAAGCTTATAACGAACTGACCGATATAACGAACTTATTTTTAATCCCGGCCATTTGTTGTATATATGCCTATAACGAACTACGGTTATTGTGATCTAAAATTAGTGGTCCCTTTGAGTTCGATTTATCCGTAGTTTACTGTAGTTACACTTAGCAATCCTTGAGCAATATTACATAATATATCATATGTTTCGGCAGATATTCGAGGTTGTTTATGCTCTGGCGATGACGTTCTAACATATGTGAAAACATACCTTTGTAAGGATCTTATATAAATGTAGTTGTCCTTTGCGATAAACTCCTAAAATGTAACCAAAGAAAGATTGGTTCATTTAATACAAATGAACATATGCCGCAACGTGGAGTTCAGGCCACCTGAGGAAGAAGTCATCAGGTCACTTGAGCAATCTTGCACAGCTTACAACATGACATCAGGCCACCTGAGGAGGAAGTCATCAGGTCACTTGAGCAATCTTGCACAGCTTACAACATGACATCAGGCCACCCGAGGAGGAAGTCATCAGGTCACTTGAGCAATCTTGCACAGCTTACAACATGACATCAGGCCACCCGATGAGGAAGTCATCAGGTCACTTGAGCAATCTTGCACAGCTTACAACATGACATCAGGCCACCTGAGGAGGAAGTCATCAGGTCACTTGAGCAATCTTGCACAGCTTACAACATGACATCAGGCCACCTGAGGAGGAAGTCATCAGGTCACTTGAGCAATCTTGCACAGCTTACAACATGACATCAGGCCACCCGAGGAGGAAGTCATCAGGTCACTTGAGCAATCTTGCACAGCTTACAACATGACATCAGGCCACCCGATGAGGAAGTCATCAGGTCACTTGAGCAATCTTGCACAGCTTACAACATGACATCAGGCCACCCGAGGAGGAAGTCATCAGGTCACTTGAGCAATCTTGCACAGCTTACAACATGACATCAGGCCACCCGATGAGGAAGTCATCAGGTCACTTGAGCAATCTTGCACAGCTTACAACATGACATCAGGCCACCCGAGGAGGAAGTCATCAGGTCACTTGAGCAATCTTGCACAGCTTACAACATGACATCAGGCCACCTGAGGAGGAAGTCATCAGGTCACTTGAGCAATCTTGCACAGCTTACAACATGACATCAGGCCACCTGAGGAGGAAGTCATCAGGTCACTTGAGCAATCTTGCACAGCTTACAACATGACATCAGGCCACCCGATGAGGAAGTCATCAGGTCACTTGAGCAATCTTGCACAGCTTACAACATGACATCAGGCCACCCGAGGAGGAAGTCATCAGGTCACTTGAGCAATCTTGCACAGCTTACAACATGACATCAGGCCACCTGAGGAGGAAGTCATCAGGTCACTTGAGCAATCTTGCACAGCTTACAACATGACATCAGGCCACCTGAGGAGGAAGTCATCAGGTCACTTGAGCAATCTTGCACAGCTTACAACATGACATCAGGCCACCCGATGAGGAAGTCATCAGGTCACTTGAGCAATCTTGCACAGCTTACAACATGACATCAGGCCATTGAAGAGGCGACATGGATTACAACATACCATCAGATCTCACCGGAAGGTAGTCACAGCTTACAAGATAACATCAGGCCCTTGTTAGCAGTCAGAGCTTATTACATAAAATCAGGTCACTAAATATTAAACATCAAAGGTCCTTGTTAGCACATCGGGTCCATTCACCAGCAGCCCAGTCATTTATCATAACATCGAATCACTGCAACAGACAGTCACAGAATGCAACATAATATCAGATCACTGGAACAGACAGTCAAAGGTTACAAGAAATCACTCCAGAAAGCATTTAAGTCGTGGTATCTACAGCCAAACGTTAGATGATTGGACGGATCTTGTGATAAGATCAGGTGAGAGGAGACGATGTCGTGGCAGCATCTGCATCATAAGATCAGGTGAGAGTAGACGATGTCGAGGCATATCTTCATGCTTAGAACAGGTGAGAGGAGACGATGTCGTGGTAGTAACTACATCATAAGATCAGGTGAGAGGAGACGATGTCGTGGCAGTAACTACATCCTAAGATCGGGTGAGAGGAGACGATGTCGTGGCAGTAACTACATCCTAAGATCGGGTGAGAGGAGAGGATGTCGTGGCAATAACTACATCCTAAGATCAGGTGAGAGGAAACGATGTCGTGACTGTAACTACATCATAAGATCAGGTGAGAGGAGACGATGTCGTGGCAGTAACTACATCATAAGATCAGGTGAGAGGAAACGATGTCGTGACTGTAACTACATCATAAGATCAGGTGAGAGGAGACGATGTCGTGGCAGTATCTACATCCTGAGATCAGGTGAGAGGAGACGATGTCGTGTCAGTTGCTACATCCTAACATCAGGTTAGAGGAGACGATGTCGTGACTGTAACTACATCATAAGATAAGGTGAGAGGAAACGATGTCGTGACTGTAACTACATCATAAGATCAGGTGAGAGGAGACGATGTCGTGGCAGTATCTACATCCTAAGATCAGGTGAGAGGAGACGATGTCGTGGCAGTATCTACATCCTAAGGTCGACGATTGGAGACGATGTCGTGGCAACATCTACATCAAGTTTTGTGGGGCGTCCACCAGCTGACACAGAAGTAGTCGGCGACAGATGGTTACCATTGTTGCTGAAAATAAATTACCGATTATTGATTGAAGAATAGTTAGCATACATGTGGATAAAGATAATTTCCCTGACGAAGCATAAGCCATCACCATTTGTCCAGTTGACGCTGACGTTTAACATAAAGTCAAACTTGAGGTTCAACCGACGAAAATTACATCTGAATTATTTGACCATTGATCAAAACAAACACACGAACAAACTCTAGGAACAAATTGCCCATCCTTTTCCTATCCCTATGTGATGCCGAGTGGACTCTTGGGCCCAATTTTAAATAAATATATTTTTCCTATGTGAACACATGAAACATTCAAAGGAAAATATGCACAACAATTAACGTTTAATATTTAATCTGTAAAATATTTACCTTCTAATTGACCAGTGATACAGACGTAATTTCTATGTTAATTAGGAGATAAACCGACTGTGTTTTCTTGGAGAGCTAGGTTATTCGTGCTAATTAAATTGAATTTGGAACTGAACGCAGAGCATACAAAAAAAACTACTATAGGAATACAGCCCAAAATCAGCTACTTTGCCAGGCAACATGAAGTGGGCCAACTGAAGATAATGAAGCACGCCTAGCAAGGCTTAGTTCTACACCGCACGTCACTGTTATACTCATTGGGACGCATAACATATGACGTCAGAGTTCATATAGAAAACCGCACACTTTCAAGCTTCACATTGTCCCTTAAACTCTATTTTTACTGTCTTAGTCGATTTCTATCATGTTTTCTGCTCAAATGTATACATACTTTGAATATTGTAGTAACCGCAACTCTGCATTCAATAACCTAATTGTACACATTATTAGTTAAAAATGCTCAAATCGGATTGTTCAGTCAGAAGTGATTTGATACCTCTGATTGAAGAATCAGAATCGAGTAATTTTCAAATTCATGGGAGAATATTTGCATATCGCCGTGGAGGAAGTTCCACAAATAGTTGTTATTAAAGAAGAATATTGTATATTTGGGTATATCAGTTGACATTTTGTCGTTTATTTTCATAGTTTACAGGCAATACGATAATGAGTGAGTGAGTGAGTGAGTGAGTATGGTTTTACGCCGCTTTTAGCAATATTCCAGCAATATCACGGCGGGGGACACCAGAATTATACGATAATGAAGAAACTTATTTGTATATAGATTCTGAAAATGTTTAGCCTGTGTCTTTAGCCAGCTGTATCAGATGGATGGATGGTTTGTTGTTTTACGCCGCACTCAGCAATATTCCAACTATATGACGGCGGTCTGTAAATAATCGAGTCTGGACCAGACAATCCAATGATTGATATCATGAGCATCGATCCACGCAATTGTAATCGATGACATGCATCAACCAAGTCAGCGAGCCTGACCACCCGGTCCCGTCAGTCGCCTTTTACGACAAGCATAGTCGCCTTTTACGGCAAGCGTGGGTTGCTGAAGACCTATTCTACCCCGGATCGTCACGGGTCAGCTGTATCAGAAGCGACATATCATTATCTATGATGTGAATGATGAGTTTACCATTGAATGAGTTGTAGGGGCCTTTTCGCCACCAGTCTGAGACAGATGTGAGATACGCAGGGACAGCCAGAAACACTATAGCCAGGGGCACGAGGAACTTGACCGGTTGGTAGGCTATGGCGGTCACTGACAACGCCAAGAAGAACACGACGAAGATGATTGGGAACACCAGGGGAACCTGAAACAGTCCATGTCTCCTACACAGTGGATTCAGTGGACGTGGCCTGTTTATAGAAACGTTTCAGCGGATCCCGGGTGTGTGGTTGAAACAGAAGCATATGTTTGGTTTGTTTGGTATGCAGCCACCGACAACACTCTGATTGGCACCAATGACATCCCTTTACGTTCAAATGTTAAGTCGATATGTGGATTGACTGGTATCGAGATTCATTGGAAGGTATATGTCCGATTAGAGTTATATGAACCTCCCGCCTCCTCCAATACTGCATAAATATGTGCGTCAACACACTCCTAACACTTCATACACCTCTGCGTGATCATCCCTCTAACACTTCATACACCTGTGCGTCATCATTCCTCTGACACTTCATACAACACTGCGTCATCATTCCTCTAACACTTCATACACCCGTGCGTCATCACACCTCGAACACTTCATACACCTGTGCGTCATCACACCTCTAACACTTCATACACCTGTGCGTCATTATTCCTCTAACACTCCATACACCCGTGCGTCATCACACCTCTAACACTTCATACACCTGTGCGTCATCACACCTCTAACACTTCATACACCTGTGCGTCATCACACCTCTAACACTTCATACACCCGTGCGTCATCACACCTCTAACACTTCATACACCTGTGCATCACCACGCCTCTAGCACTTCATACACCTGTGCGTCATCATTCCTCTAACACTTCATACACCTGTGCGTCATTACACCTCTAGCACTTCATACACCTGTGCGTCATCATTCCTCTAGCACTTCATACACCTGTGCGTCATCAGTCTTCTAGCACTTCATATACCTGTGCATCACCACACCTCTAGCACTTCATACACCTGTGCGTCATCATTCCTCTAACACTTCATACACCTTTGCGTCATCATCCCGCAAACACTTCATACACCTGTGCGTCATCACACCCCTTACACTTCATACACCTGTGCGTCATCACACCCTTACACTTCATACACCTGTGCGTCATCACACCCCTTACAATTCATACACCCGTGCGTCATCACACCCCTTACACTTCATACACCTGTGCGTCATCACACCCCTTACAATTCATACACCCATGCGTCATCACACCCCTTACAATTTATACACCTGTGCGTCATCACACCCCTTACAATTCATACACATGTGCGTCATCACACCCCTTACAATTCATACACCTGTGCGTCATCACACCCCTTACAATTCATACACCTGTGCGTCATCATTCCTCTTGCACTCCATACACCTGTGCGTCACCACTCCTCTGACAACGTATTAACCTATGCGCCATCACTCCTCTTACACAGCTTCTACATGGACGTCATCACCCATCTAAATTCGTTGACAAATGGCTATAAGACTAATTAAATATTCAACTGGCATAACCATTTCCCACATACATATAACTCACCTTGTACACGTCATGAGTGTCTGGGAACTTTCTCCTCAGACGCAATATGCCCATTATAGCCACAGCTTCCGGCAGAGCCCGAACAAAGGAGTAAGTCCCGATGATGCTCTTCACATCACCCAGACATACAACGACCAGCGAAAAGGCGAACTTAAAAGGATAAAAAGTATGGTGAACGTTAAAACATTTGGACACTTTGTCTAGAAAAAAGTTCCACTCAAATTTCTTATCTCATACAGATCTGCGAGACTGAATAATAAATAATACGAATAATAAAGCAGTCTACAGTGACAGCAACGGTGACACCATCGCCTGTAACAATAACTGTGACATCATCGCCAGTAACAGCAACTGTGACACCATCGCCTGTAACAATAACTGTGACATCATCGCCAGTAACAGCAACTGTGACACCATCGCCTGTAACAATAACTGTGACACCATCGCCTGTATCAATAACTGTGACATCATCGCCAGTAACAGCAACTGTGACATCATCGTCTACAACAGTAACGGTGACAACATCGTCTGTAACAGCAACGGGGACAACATCGTATGTAACAGCAACTGAGACACCATTGGAAATGGCCATGAGAAGCATTAATTATTAATTATTATATCAAAAATTGATGCCCTTGAAGTCTGCCTCCTTACCACGAGTAGCACTGTCGGCATCGGCGTCCTGCTTTTAGCATTCACCATTCCCAGGAATCGAGGGAAGACATTGTCCCTGCCGCCAACGAAGTTTAACCTTATAAAAAGAACGTTAAGTCTTTTCAATCGCGCAAATGCAGACGCACGCAAAAGGTCCAAACTTAGACCAAAGAAATCAACACATTACCTTTCACTGTGCCTACTAAAGGCAATTATGTATTGGGGACAGGAAACCATTGACACCGTCTTTTCAGTAATCATGTTTACCCATCGGATAAGATGAAGTGCAAATGTTGACAAACTGTCTTGAAGGAAATATCATCATTGTATTGAACCTTTGTAAACCTGTGAACAAGCCTGCGTTAACAGTCATATGATGACGAAGCAAAAGAAGAGTGTTGGATTTAAAAGAAGAAAAATTCCTTGCGAACGGTTTATGCCTTGATATTAACGGAGTTTACTTTGACGAATATGAAAGGCAATGGATATTGTCAATTATAACAGGTAATGAATATGTACACATATGCATAAGAGCCATTGCTGCTGTGGTTGATGACTATGACGCACCTGCTGGAGGTGAAAATGATGGCGTTGGCGACGCCGGCTGCAGACATCCCGATGCAGGGCACCATCGCCCACTTGAGAGGGCCTAGCATTCGCTCACCAAACACCTAATTGCATTGATATGTATGAAGTTGGTTACGATTGCAAAAAGGCGTCAAAAGGATGCAATTGGGGTTTTTAGAAGTTAAATAAGGTTTCTGACGACGCGAGTATGGTTAAGGAAGCATTCTCTCAACGATGAATTTGTAGGAATTGAAGCGGTCGGTGTTAGTTGTTTTTGTAAAACATAAAGAAGTCCACTATACATGAGGTTTATCTCCTATTTCAATCTCTGGTAATGTGACTATCCCTATCCACCTTGCTTGTAAACAGCATGAAGAAAGACATTTTACAACTGCAATAACATCATTTAATTTGTGCAGTCGTCAGGAAGTTACTATATTTAGATGCTAGTGCGGTGTGTAAACAAAAGTAATAAGATAACAAAGGGGGAAAGTTAACAAGTGAAGCCAACAGTTAATTGGCGCTAATAGGCGATTAGCAATGAAGTATATAATCCGAAACTTTTTTTACATTTGTTATCTTATTACTTTTTTTATTCTTACAGGTACATTTATATGGTTTGTGCTTCATAGCATTAATTCGCCTGATGAAGCAGTAAGTTTATACACCGAAATGTTGTGTTCCTCATAATAAAGAAGTTGACATCCATAAATTCTCTTCACTGTGTGTATCACTTCTAAATGCCATTCAAAGACCTGATAGTTATACAGGTAATCTTTTTCACAAGAATTGAAGAACATTTACAAAATAGTTTCTATTAAGGCACGGGCAAACACTTCCACGTGTGTAAATATGATTACATGAATTTAAATTAATTTAAAATAATTGAGAAAACGGTGGTCGACTGGCCATACATAATTCGTCAATTTAGAGGTTTCAGTTGTCATTTCTTCCGACGTAAAATCTCTCATCAACGTACATTGAGAAGCAGATAGGTATGCAACATCAAACGCGTTATTGATGACTTTGTTTACAGATCTGACGATCCGAAACTTTACAAATGCGGATTAAAATTATTTTTTTGTACATTCTTTTCTTTTGGCCCCAAAGTATATTCACACAATTCATGAATAGTCGTTTAAAGGGAAATGTAGACAACCCGTTTATTTCCGGATCATTCATTCTTTGCACACCTGATCGACAGTATTTTTATATATCACACCGCATCTGGTGGACGAAGGGTCTGCCCGGATAGAGGAACGTCGGTGGTTCGATCCCTTGGCGGTCTCATACCAAGAGATCTTCAAACATAGTACTACTGGTCGGCCTAGAGTCAAAATGATATGTCTGAGTGGAGTAGCCAACTATATCTCAGAGGACTATTGCTAGCACTATAACACCGGCGTAGGTCCGGACGAGTGAAAACAGCTGCACACATTCACACGTGCATACACGTCGCTACATAGGTGAAGTAATCCGCGTGCGCAACGTCAAACCCCATTTTACCTCGCCGAATAATAAATCACTATTTCAGATAAAGAACCATCTTTTGAATCTGTTCATCTTTAAAACATAAAGAAGTCCACTATACATGAGGTTTATCTCCTATTTCAATCTCTGGCAATGTGACTATCCCTATCCACCTTGCTTGCAAACAACATGAAGAAAGACATTTTACAACTGCAACTGCAACTCCTGACAGAATCTCCTGATTAGTCATGACTGCGTGGTAGGCGATGTTGGCCGTGATGTAGCAGATGGTGGGGATGGCAAGGCCTCCGAGAATAGCTATTGGCATCGTCCTTAAACACAAAGAAAGTCAATCCTGTTTCTTTTTGTTCTATTTTTGTTTTCAAAATACTTGAACCTTCCAAGATAAGTTTTCAAATTATTTCCCTGCACATTGACTTCATTAGGTGAAGCATTCCATACTGCTTGTTTCATCCACAAGAACAAAACCTACATGTACATTAGGCAACATGACTTGAATGAGTGACCAAGAAGCTCTCAGTAGAAATTCACTCATTTCATATATTTCAGTATATAATTGCATGCTTGCTTAGTGTCGGCACACTCTACACAGCTCATACACGTTTAATTCATTTTAACAGAATCCCATACACATTGGTGTTAACATATTATGGATCAAAATCATGAGACTCTCGGATTTAAACCCACGACAAACGGATCCTGACATGACTAAAGGGAGTTTCGGATCGCTGGACCAACCGTGTGTCACCGTGCCCCAATTGAAGTGATGGGGCCTCAAATAATTTTAAAGAGCAGTTAAATTCTCTGTACGTACCTCTGTGGTTGGATGATTTCCTCCACTGCGTTGTTGATGTGATCCCTGCAGGATGAAAAATACAGTTAACACATACAATGTGATCCCTGCAGAGTGAAAAATACAGTTAGCACATACAATGTAATCCCTGCAGGATGAAAAATACAGTTAACACATACAATGTGATCCCTGCAGGATGAAAAATACAGTTAACACATACAATGTGATCCCTGCAGGATGAAAAATACAGTTAACACATACAATGTGATCCCTGCAGGATGAAAATACAGTTAGCACATACAATGTGATCCCTGCGGGATGAAAATACAGTAAGCACATACAATGTCATCCTTGTAGGATGACACAAATAGAGTCAGAACATAAAATGTGTTCCTGCAGGATGAAAAATACAGTTAACACATACAATGTGATCCCTGCAGAGTGAAAAATACAGTTAACACATACAATGTGATCCCTGCAGGGTAAAAAATACAGTTAGCACATACAATGTGATCCCTGCAGGATGAAAAATACAGTTAACACATACAATTTTGATCCCTGCAGGATGAAAACTACAGTTAACACATAAAATGTGATCCCTGCAGGATGAAAATACAGTTAGCACATAAAATGTGATCCTTGCAGGATGAAAAATACAGTTAACACATACAATGTGATCCCTGCAGGATGGAAAATACAGTTAGAACATACAATGTGATCCTTGCAGGATGAAAAATACAGTTAGCACATACAATGTGATCCCTGCAGGATGACACACATATAGTCAGCACATACAATGTGTCCCTGCAGGATGTAAAATACAGTTAGCACATACAATGTGATCCTTGCAGGATGTAAAATACAATTAGCACATACAATGTGATCCCTGCAGGATGCAAAATACAGTTAGAACATACAATGTGATCCTTGCAGGATGAAAAATACAGTTAGAACATATAATGTGATCCTTGCAGGATGAAACATACAGTTAGAGCATACAATGTGATCCTTGCAGGATGAAAAATACAGTTAGAGCATACAATGTGATCCTTGCAGGATGACACACAGACAGTGAGAACATAAACTGTGATCCCTGCAGGATGACACACAGACAGTGAAAACATAAACTGTGATGCCTGCATGATCATACACAGATAGTGAGAACATAAACTGTTATCCCTGCAGGATGACACACAGATAGTGAGAACATAAAATGCGATCCCTGCAGAATGACACACAAACAGTGAGAACATAAACTGTGATGCCTGCAGGATGACACACAGACAGTGAAAACATAAACTGTGATTGCCTGCAGAACAAACAAGGGGATCTCTACAGGATGACACACAGACAGTGAGAACATAAACTTTGATGCCTGCATGATCATACACAGACCGTGAGAACATCAACGGTGGTGCTTGCAGGATGGCACACAGACAGTGAGAACATAATCTGTGATGCCTGCAGGATGACACAAAGACAGTGAGAACATACACTGTGATCCCTGCAGGATGACACACAGACAATGAGAAAATAAACTGTGATGCCTGCAGGATGACACACAGACAGTGAGAACATAAACTGTGATCCCTCCAGGATGACACACAGACAGTGAGAACATAAACTGTGATACCTGCAATATGACACACAGACACTTAGCAGATACAATGTGATCCCTGCAGGATGGCATACAAACTGTTAGCTCATGCATGACCGCTGCAGAATGACACACACTTAGCACATACATAACCCCTGTCACGGGGCACACAAACAATGAGACCATACAAGGTGGTCCCTGCAGGATGACGCATATCTGCAGAACAAGGCGGAGACAAACTTACCATCCTACATAAGCATACAACCCTGCATACAAGGCCAAGGTAAAGTCACCAGGGTTGAGATTGCTGATGACGAACGGGTCTCTGAAGTTTTCATTGTGACCTATAAAATTAATTTTAAGCGTAATTATTTTAGAAATTTGATATACGACAAGTATATAAGAATTTAATATCACTTAAGGATAATTTTACAGCCATAGAAATATAAAGGAAATGCATAATGATATTTTCTCTTTCATATTTCCCCTCAAATTATTAAGTTGCACTGTCCACAAATCATTGTCAGATTTGAGGATGCTACGCCAGCTCCTATAATGACGGTGAGGGAGCTGACCTTGCAAACAGTGGACCTACTAATTATTAGGTGATACCCACCAGCCGCTATAATGACGATAAGGGAGCTGACCTTGAAGTGGACCTACCTTTTATTAGGTGATACACACCAGCCGCTATTATGACGATGATGGAGCTGACCTTGCAGACAGTGGACCTACTAATTATTAGGTGATACAAACCAGCCGCTATAATGACGATGATGGACCTGACCTTGCAGACAGTGGACCTACTAATTATTAGGTGATACACACCAGCCGCTATAATGACGATGATGGAGCTGACCTTGCAGACAGTGGACCCACCTTTTATTAGGTGATACACACCAGCTGCGTAACGATGAGGGAAGTGAACTTGCAGACAGCGTACCTACCTTGTATTAGGTGATACACACCAACTCCTATAATGACGAGAGCGAGATGACCTTGCAGGCAGTGGACGTACCTTGAATCAGGTTATACACACCAGCTGCTATAATGACGAGAGCGAACAGACCTTGCAGACAGTGGACGTACCTTGTATCAGGTGATACACACCAGCTGCTATAATGGCGACAAGGGCGCTGACCTTACAGACAGCGGACACTGTCTGTATTCCGGCACCAACGCGGACGCTATAACAGTTACAGGCAACGATGAACGCTGTGAAAACAAATGGAGTCGAACGTTTATGACATAGGTATTATTTAACAGATATGTTATTTAAGATTATGCTTTACGTATGCCTCGATCTGTCCGATATCTTTATAAAATGTAACTACGCTTTGAGCTGTCCGATGTAATTCTCGCCAGACAATACCAAAGAAATATTTTACCTTATTCCTCGAGCTGCCCCCTGTTATTCTCGACAATATACCACGGACATATTTACATATTCTTCGAGATTCCTGATGTAATGTCAGCCATCTTATACCAAGAACATATTATGTCGATGCTTCGAGCTGGGATTCCATTCTTCGGACATCGGTTTCTGTCATAACTAAGGGATACAACTCTATTGACTGATTGCTTGTGATGATTCACCCTCTGAGATTGCATCATCAAGAATTGACGTTTAATAAATATTTATCAAAATGGTAATTCGGTTTTATTTCTGAGTGTACTCGATTGTTGTAACATGACGAAATGGTCTAGATTTTCTTGAGCTTTGATAACATTCAAAGTTCTAAGAAGACATACAATATGATTTTAACTGACTCCTACATTCCACACCTCATTTCTGAAATAGTATGGCGTACGGGTGTTATTAAATTTTATAACGAAAATCGGGAAACTGTAGGGAAACAAATTAAGCAGTCTTAGTCTATAAAGTTGCACGTTAGCCTGATATTTAACACTGACCAAGTATAGTCGTGGCCAGCAGAACTTTGGCTGATTTTGGAGCCAAGTCGGGACACTCCAGGTAGAAAGGCCTCATGATGTATTCAGCAGTGACCAGGCTTCCCAATACGGCCGCTAGGGGGCGCACGACAAACAGCTGAGCCCACAATACTGTAAATCCGGCCATGTCTCCAAACGCTGCTCTTACGTACGTGTAACTTCCGCCAGATTTCTTAATACGGGTACCTGAAACAGCAGACACAACGAACACACACAATTGGAAGGCTGTGCGTTGCAATAGCCACCAACCCTGACAGACTAACTATTGTCATACCAAACAGTCGGGTAGTCTTTAACTTCTTTTGGGTAGTGTACATTACTAGGGCCACTAAAAATTCTCAAAAATAATTACCTTTCCAAATTGGACAGCATGAAATTCAGTCAGTCAATGGGGTGTTCAATCCAACAAAAGACGTCCATGGGAGACATCGACAAATAGATCTAGTCTGTTTTCAACGCAGAAGCCACGAACGTAGATTCCATACTTGTAAATTTTGTAATCTAAAGATTTGAATTTGAAAAAAGTTTAGATATTGAATCGAAGTTCGAAACTTCTACACTGAAAACATACTAGGTTATTTCCATTCTACCATGAAACAACTCTTTTGTTATAGTGGACATGAATAGTGATGTGGCATTGGTAGATCCTAATATTTTCCGTAGGTTGAAAGCTTGAATGCAGGCATTAGTGAAGATCGGTTTTAATCTGCATAGATGTTACCTTTATGTATCTTTGAACCACTTCAATGAGACACAATAAAATCATTTAGGCAGATATGTTCTACAAGGGCGGTGAAGTAGCCTAGTTGCTCAAGCGTTCGCTCGTCACGCCGAAGACCCGGGTACAATGTATGAAGCCTATTTCTGGTGTCCACCGCCGTGATATTGCTGGAATATTGCGTAAAACGATACTCCCTCACTCACTATGTTCTACAAATGGAGTCATGATGTCATAGTATGTAATCTGTTAGGGGACTTACCTATCCCCTAAAGACTTCGGCACTATATTATCGCATACAGCTCCTCACTGAACTATCGTCTACCTATTTCCTTACTTAACTATCGCAGTTCGTCACCAAACTATTCCTTACCTCGCTTGGCACTAAACTACCACCTACCTAATTCGGCACTAACTACCACCTACCTAATTCGGCACTAACTACCACCTACCTAATTCGGCGTATGATAACGCTCCACAGTAGCTGATGAAGCCACAGAACCCCCAAACACAGAGGGAGAGCCCAACAGACGCTCCAGCACCAGACAGCACCGCACTTGGGCTGACGAAGATGCCGCCACCAATGATGCCGCCAGTGACGTAGCTGATGGCGCTGATGATGCCGAGCTGCCGCTTGAGTCCTACTGCCATGTTGCTGATACTACCAAAGTAAATGATTAGTGAAAGTGGGTGAGTTTGACGCGATTTTTAATAGTATTTAAGTCGGGGCGGGGCCAAAGGTATCCAGTATTATTTGACTTGTACCATATATTCGCGTTTGTTTCAGGTGAACAGTAGACTTGCCTTTGCATTTGTTTTTGACGGGTGCCACCCGCTCACTTTTCACCTGGTGTTATCACTATTTGATTGTGATTCATAAACACATGCTCATGATGTAGTCGGATTCGTAGAATCAACTCTGCTTTTAAAAGAATTTATGAATATGGAAAGAGTTATGTCGATTTTATTTACATTTTTTTTGCCCTGCGTAATACTTAATTCCACTCAAATGCGTTGAACATATAATTGGACCCCATTAAATTCGAATATGCCGTTTAAAGGCAGCATGTATGGTGTGCCTGGTTCATATATTTACAGCTTACCCATCTGATATATCGGCATGAGTGAGATCAAATGCTTCATCGTTTTTCAAATGGTAACAGTGCAGGGTCGAATCGGGGTACAACCATGTTCTGGAACACTGGAACTCGACGTTCTTCCAGATCGGAACTAATTTACGTTTGCAGTTATTACATCTCTCGTTACAATTTATCGCAACTGATATGTAAGTCTTGAAGAAAGCACATGTGGACAAGTCGGTGTCTATTCTATGTTTATATTAGGATAGCGAGGTCTGCAGTTTTTTTGTGAAATTTTGTGACAACCCATTTGTAGTAAAGGATACATGTGACATGCCATAGAAGGCACGTTGATCACCCTTGTTACACGATTGATGGTGTCTTGCCGCCAATGACGTAGGCAAGACATTACTCAGTGATCCTATTACGACTGTATTCGTAAGAAAAATATCAAATAATTCTTTCAGTATTATATCACAGGGACCGCCTCCGTGGTCTAGTGGTAGAGCGTCCGCCCGGAGAGCGGTAGGTCCGGGGTTCTATCCCTGGCTGCGTCATACCAAATGACGTTAAACGATTGTATTTGTTGTAACCCTGTCTGGCTTTCGGCATTAAGGGCTTAAACAAGGACCGGTCGGCTCGGAGTCAATATACTGTGTCTGAGTGGGTTATGCATGTTAAACTGCGGCATGGTATCTCAGTGTGCCAGCACTATAAATCGGCATCAGTCCGGACTAGTACAAGCAGCCACAAACACACACACACACATGCACGTCGCTATATAAGTGCAATAATCTTGGACGCGACGTTAAACCCCATTTTACCTCACGTTACCATTTCATTTGGGCGGTTTCGGTAGCCGAGTGCTTAAAGTGTCGTCTTGGCTGTTTGAAGCAAAGGTAAGTGATACGAGAGGTGGAATCTGATTGGTCCATAGGAGAGTCATAGAAGGGACATAACTTGCTATAGACACTGGTGGCGCTACGATCGAGCCCAGGATTTCCAGCCTAGTTCGGCATGGGTGGAAACTGGACTTTTAAAGTCAGTTAACTCTCTTGCCTCGGTAAGATATTGTTAGAAAGATAACCACTAAACCTGTGTACTATCTGATTATTTATACTTTTTAAACAAAACGATCGGCACTTCATATATATGAAACATATTTCCATAATCGCAGATGCTGATACATATCACATTACTTATCACATATCTCTCGCATATTGTATCACACAAATTACTCCACATGAGATACTGCCTCTACATTCTGTGTCTACACAAGACAAGATATGAGCCATATCTCCCCTGCAGACTATTCTGTCTGGTATGTCTCGAGTTCATGGTCAAGTTTGTGTCCATACCTGTGTATAGTTAGATGACAGTGAACACAGCAATCATGAAATCATGTTATCATACTCCCATGTCAGAATGATGAGATCTGTTTGGTTCACGTGATCTTGATAAAATAATGTATCCCGTCTTTGCAGGAAATATATTTCTCAGCCGGGGAGTCCCCCGCCGTGATATTGCTGGAATATTGCTAAAAGCGGAGTAAAACCATACTCACTCACTCACTCAGCCGGGGAATAAATTCCTCATAAATCCCGCGCCTCCGGCTCTTGTAGCCCTCGTCATGCTGCTACAACAATATACTCCAAATTGAAAACAAACTCAAGATGAAACACTGGATCTCTGCGCATGCGTCAAAGTGGTGAGACGTGTTTGAAAGAGCTCTGACACTTGATGGTTAAAATCTTTTATATTAGATCATACTGTGTCTACATGAGTTTTATCACAATAATCTGTTATTGCTAACATAGGCGAAGACGCCGAGAGGATGATTTATGCTGATGACGAAATTCAAACAATGGAAAACTTTGAATCAGAAGATGCATCATTCGTGAAAAGTGTAATGGCCGACGTTCATTCACCGGTGAGTGACAATTCTCATCATTCGTGACCAACTCGTGTTATTCCGGGACCAGCCGAAGAGCGACTCGTGCCCCTCTCGTGGCAATTTTTGCGACCGGGTTCCGTCTGAGCGCAAACGGGCATACCTTGTCAACTCGTTGTGCAATGGTTCACATACATTTCCCCTATATATCATTTATATTTCAGATGCAATTAAAAGCACATCAGGACATGCGAAATTATACAGTATGATTGAACACATTTAACTCTGTCTTGGGTATATTTTTAGATGCAAGACATATGTAAAAACAGAAATTATTTTTGAGGGATTCTTTGATGAAGAACTTGAAATCATACGCGCATTCTGATTGGTTTGTCGTATTTTCGCACATAACATTCATCGATAGGGGGACGAGTCTTCTTGCAGGTTACGGAAAGGGGCGAGTGGCGACGAATGAATTCTCATAACAAGCGATCACGTTCTTCAAGCCCTTATGCAATAAACTGTTCACAAAGTACGAAAAAACAGAAATCTGACCTTCCTACGTTTGATGAAGTAATAGACAATTGTAACTTACAACATGTGGACACACAGACAACTTTAATTCTTAAGGTCATTAAGCCCTGAGTAATAGTACTGACACAAGACTACAAGATATAGAGGCAAAGATCCAGAAATGTGAAAAAGGAAATTCACAAGGAACTGATTGAAGTGACAACAGAAATGAAAACCGAGTTGGGTTATCTTTTCGAGCGTGTGAAACAACTAGAAGACGTCCAAGTGCAACAATACGCAAGTCAGACTGGTCAAAAGCGTAATCTGACTATGGTGTTCAAAAATGTCCAAGAGGCTGTTAATGAAGATGTAGCTATGAAGGTAAATGGTATCATTCGAGACGGTCTAAAATTGCGAAATATCAGCATCGTTCGTGCGGAAAGAGAAACTTCATCCGGCTCACGCTACCCGGGATCATTGTTGCAACATGTAAACATGTAAACAACCAGTAGATAACCAGTCAATCCTAAAAGAAGAGTCAAGACCTCGTCAAGAAAGAAATTTATATATCAAACGACAAGTCGACGGAAAAAACGTCGAACTGAAGCAAACCTACGGACAATAGTGCAGACAGATGGGACCGATCGACTTTGTATAGTCGGATCAAGAGTGGAGAGAATCCAGTGATATCATATCATGAGCATCGATCCACGCAATTGGGATCGATGACATGCATCAACCAAGTCAGCGAGCCTGACCACCCGATCCCGTTCGTCGCCTTTTACGACAAGCATGATCGCCTTTTACGGCAAGCGTGGGTTGCTGAAGACCTGGTCTACCCCGGATCTTCACGGCAAGCGTGGGGTGCTGAAGACCTGGTCTACCCCGGATCTTCACGGCAAGCGTGGGTTGCTGAAGACCTGGTCTACCCCGGATCTTCACGGCAAGCGTGGGGTGCTGAAGACCTGGTCTACCCCGGATCTTCACGGCAAGCGTGGGTTGCTGAAGACCTATTCTACCCCGGATCTTCACGGCAAGCGTGGGTTGCTGAAGGCCTATTCTCCCCCGGGTCTTCACGGCAAGCTTGGGTTGCTGAAGACCTATTCTACCCCGGATCTTCACGGCAAGCGTGGGTTGCTGAAGACCTGGTCTACCCCGGATCTTCACGGGTCTGCTGCAAGGACAACAATGAGTCACGTCGTGACTTCAGATCTGCATGGAGCAGGCGTGAA